AGGTTCCCACGGCCTGGGAGACTAGAATGCTGGGTGTCAACATGAGAGGCTCATTGCTCTGGGAATTCCATTCCATATATAGCTGTCATACGTGTGGCGGTGCAATCCAGGTGGAAGATTGTGGGATCTGTAACAGTCATTCGTTGACAGGGTCCCGCGGGCATTCCGGGCATATGACTGCGCTGCTTCATCCATTCATCTGTATTTGCAATGAGAGGGCCGTGTATGCCGATAGATCCAAGGATAAGACGATGCTGTGGGGAATGCGGACGGTTGCGCTCGTCTCACACTCATGGTCCTTCTTGGTCGCCCCCTAGTCCTGCAACTGCCTGTGGAACTGATCGTACGCATAGCTGGATGCGCGCTGGATGACAACGATGTGTCTCGTCATTCGCGAATCCTACCACATAAACTTTCGAGGCTGGACATGGACCCACATTTGTTCTCCGCGACCGGACTAAACAATCTATATCAGCACTGGCACGACCGAGGCGATGTTCCGCGTTACCTGGCTTCAGACGAAAGTCTTGTACCTCTGCGCATGAGCCACACCTGTCAGTACATGAGAGAGGCACTGCTGTCTCATTCTACTCTCTGGTCGCGCGTCATCATGGCTTGCCCGAATGCACCATTGATACACTATCTTGCAGAGCGGGCGGGAGATAGACTTGAGCTGTGCTCCCGGGAGCTTTTGAACAATGGTGCGGTCGCCGCCGTGTTGCACCACTTGCACCGAGCCACTGCGCTCTGTCTTTATCTACCAAGCTTCACAGACCGGAAAACTCCTTGGTCAGACACATTCTATTATGAATTTCATATCCAATCGCATTCTCGTGTGGAACAAATAGACTTCCGATTCTACGCATGCCCCGAGACGCAGGCATTCCCCCTTCATGAGGTCACGTTGCCCTTGCTTCGGGAAGCCAGATCATTAAACTCCCACTTCGCTTTGTGGGTCCCGGGTTACGCTCCTTACATTTAGCCGCCACGGTGGCGAGTATGAGAATGTGCTTGTCCTCTCTATGCGAGATGTTATTGAAATGCTTATCTCTCGAGGAAATTTCGGTACAGATGGTCATTCGGACATCAGACAGCGAGCCATTATCCCTACTCCCGGACGACTTCCGGCTTGTGGAGCTCCAACACTTGTCGCATCTATATATCTGCGACGAGGAGCCGTCCTGCTCTGGACTGCTGCAGCGCATTCTCCCTCCGCCTCGGGCTATTGACTTGCATTTGGATATAATCCTCCCAATGGGACTCGAGTATGCTCCCAGACGGCCCTTCGATCTCGCGACTCTCTCAAAAGCGTTGAGAGATCCCCTTCAGCGCCTCAAAGCCTTCACGCATACCATCCCATACCATGTGGCAGTGGTTGACTTATCACTAGACAACGAGAGTACCACAATAAATGCCGATATCGATATTCGAGAGTGGCCAGAGGTGCTCACAGTAACTCAGATGGAGGATGCTGGTCATGCGCAGGCAATCCTAGATCAGTATGGACAACACGGAATTATGTTACAGTCTCCCTGCCGTTCCCTTGCCATCCGTAACGCCATGGCTAGCTCCCGGCCCGCTCGAGTTGAATCCCGACGCTGTCCCCCAGACTATCCACCGACATTGGAGGAGTTTATTGATGGAACACTGGGACTTATTAGTACAGAGCTCCAGCTGCACCAGGCTTCAACTGTGGTAATACCACGTGGATCATATCACCCGCAGACCGTGCGTGGGTGGCATGCGATGCTACGCTTTACAACAAACGCGCACACAGTGGTACTGCCCGTTGGAGAGCAAATGCATCATGTCGAAGTGCTGGCAGACTACTTGTCTGTCAGCAGAGGAGGCTGCTACCCCCTTCCCAGCCTACAGTCTATTCATATGGTCTGCACGGGGAGTGGAACTGCATTACCACTCCCGGATGTGGAAGTAGAAATGCAACAGAGGTCAATGGCACACGGGAGACACGACCTGTGCTGGAAACTACTTCAGTAGTCTCTACATGTAATATCTCTGCAGAAACCTACAGATAATCTTGTTACAGCCGTTTTCAATGAAGTGTGGAAACACGAATCGCGTCCACGCGCCTCGGAAGCACGGCCCAGAACCGACGCGTCCCCAGGTTCGATCCCGAGCTCACAGCGAGCTATTACTTGCGTCGTACCATGCTCAAACCTTTGAGAACTTTTGCGTTGGAGCGTCGGGAGTCGAACCCGCTCCAGCTTGGAAGCGCATCTGCCGCTGACCCACGCCTTCTGGGGTCCTGGGAGGTCGCGGTGCGATTTGCGATTCCGCACTTCATTGAAATGGCTGTAGGTGGAGGTACTAGGGCTGTTTCCATGCCTGCTATGGTCCCGTCTTCATTGAAACCGTCTGGAAAGACAATGCTCGGTACTGTATTTAACTGTTGTATGACCGGAGTATATCTTGTTCCCGGAAAGGGTAATCTCGGGACAGTCTCATGTAAAATTATTCGATGACATGCTCAGCCAGCAAGAACGAAGGCTCGGTGCTATGTTTTATGAAGAATTTTTCTGTGTGTAACACTCTCATAACTCGCTCTCGGTATGACGAACCCACAGAAAACTGGGAGCACCTAGCTCGGACCAGTAGGTTACGCATGCGCCTGGCATGGTCTCAAATGTCTACCGAGCCATGTGATGGTCGTTTTCAGCTTCCCTGGTCACTCCGTACAATTTGTTGGTTTGAGCCAATATGTCAATATGGACTGCACAGCCGGTGACAAGGCCAAGAAGTCCCATCACAGTGGTATACATCGCATCGAGGCTCGGGATAGCGTCGGTATGGAAAAGAGTCAAGTCGTAGTTGTGCGCCATGGGAGATAGTGCATGCAAAAGATACAGGACACTAGTCGTCCGACGTTGCGTTGGATTCCAGTTGAAGAACGATGAGGTTGGGCGCGTCTAGCTCGAAAGGTCCATCGGCTTTGTCAATGTAGAAGTCCAGGTACGTGAGCATGCCCAACCTCATAGCGCATAGAGTCAGGATACGCGGTGTATATACCATAAGCCCTGACTTCGCCGGGAGAGCATGCACCACACTTGCACGGGACCAGATCTTGGCCGTGGTAACTAGTTCCAATACGCGGACATCAGTGAGACGACTACATGATCAGGAGTGTAGTACTCCGAGGCCAATCGTAAAACCGACTTGTCGTGCCCTTGAGAGAAATTCCTCCACGGCCCGAGCGTGATAGAAGTCGCATATGTGCCAGGCCCAGAACCGGCCGTTTTCTAGTAAAATGCACCTCCAGCATCTGCGTACGTGGCCGATGAGTACCCATCCCCAGGTCAGCTCGACCCAATGCGTGGACGTAGAGGCCCGCAACCCAAATGTCCCGTAGAACATAGAATATCTCGACACTGACCTCGTCCATGATATCATTGATAGTAACGGGAGCTATTACCGAGTGAGTTCAGCTGATATCACGTATTGTCGTCGCGATTCCTTACCGTGGACATGTCGGAACCGTAGATGATACCGAACTGCTCGATGATGGTAGGAAGCAAGTGGACGTGAGGCATACTAGGTCATACTCCCAACGCTAGACACATGACAACGCCGGAGTCTTGCTGAGCCGAGCCGAAGTCACGGCGCTCAGGGGCAATGCGTGAGAGCGTGCTATGCATGGTTGGCACATCGACTTCTCCACGCAGAACAGAACAGAAATTTGGTCTCAACCACCTCTTCGTCATTGCTCAGCATTGCTCATCGCCCCATCCGTGCATCTCGGTCCGCCGCCTGTAGCTCCAAACGCTCACGTCTGAGTTGTAGTATGAATACTCGTCGTTTCAACAAACATCTGACTGCTCAACGCCGCAACGTGCAGCAACAACGAGAGACGAGAGACAGGATTGAGGAGGAGAATGGACCTAGCGCTCGACGTTTGCCCCCTGGACCCTCCCCTGGCTGGTCAGTCGAGGACGCCAGCTCGACGTTTACCTCTATCCAGACACTACAGCCAGTACAGCGCAGTGTCAGTCGCTGGGATCAGACAGCGACTGTGTCAGATTCGGATTCGGATGACGCCGCCCCCCCCCTGGGAGTGAATGATTTTGGGCGGGTTCCTCGCGTGCTTCAGCCTTTGCCCTCACGCGCTCGCTACCCCACCGCATGCAACGACCTGAAGGAGGCTCGTATGCGAGGAGGGTCGTCCATTCTGTTCAATGACCCGGAGCTTGACGCTGCATATCAGGCCGCAGCACGGCAGCCGGACCTGCGCAATGCGAGGGTTCTAGGGCACGGAGCGACTCGGGAGGGTCAATCTCTTCCCGAAAACGCGGGGGAATCCCAACCTTCCACCAAACTGGGACCTAATCCGCCTACTCGTCTGACGGAAGCTCAATTGAACCAAACGGCTACAATGTATGGTATGCCAGACCTCGGCGACACAGAAATGATAGACCAGAATGCACCTTTCCCGAAGGAACGTTCTACACAGGGCAAAGTAAGCAATTGACATTCTCGACCTTTTCGTTACTGGCTAATAGTCGTAGACCCCGGTTGACATGATCAGAGAGTTTGTATCGATGGGGCTTCCCAAGGAATATGCATACGCGCTCGTGGCCCGTTGTCGCCCACCGCCAGCCACATGCCCGAAATGTCCTACTGGCGATACGCAGCCCGCTCTATGGCGGTGTTACAATTGCAGACAGTGCCCTGATCTCTGCAAACGCTGTACTCGCGACGTGCACAGCCAAGATCCTTTCCATAGAGTGGGCTGGTGGAATGGCACTTTTCATCAAGACGCCTGGCTTCGCGATGCTGGCGTCAGTATATCTTTGTGCTCGAACTCGCCGGGGGGTGATGGGTGCATGAATCACCGACTTCCGGAACGACGACGGAGACTCCCCGCGAATTTTGATGCGCTCGAGCCGCCGAGGTATACCTCGACTCCTTCTAAATCCAATGATGTCGGAGTCGAAGCTTCTGCTGAAGAGCAAAGCACGGAGTACGCCGCCGATCCTGTGTCCAGTATGGGTATGGGTCTTTCGGAACTCTCTCTAGACGAGGGCGAGACAGAGCTGGCCATGATGCGGGATCCCGATGACACGGGAGACGATCTATCTGGCGTCGATGATCCTGGAATGGTGCGTCCGAGAGGAAGAAAGTCCATCCCGCGCAAAGACGCCAAAGGCAACAAAGTCTTGATTATTCTTCACGCGAACGGGATTCACGGTCTAGGCGTTGAGTTCTGCACTTGCGCAAATCCTCGCCGGCTCGATTTACAGCTCGTGGAGAAGGGGTTCTACCCTGCTAGTCGAGCCGACCCTTCCACTGCGTTCACTCTCGAATGCCTCGACGCGTTGCTTGTGGATACGCTTGAAGCAGATACGCGCTGTCAGGCCTTCGCGCGTAAGCTTCAACGTTTTACGGAACCCGACGATCCAGAGTCTTGTGTTGTACGTCTCATGCTCTGCTATGCAGCTCCACCAAATATGCACCCACTGAACACCTTCAGGATCGCTATCCGCAGCTCTTGCGTTGCCTCAGGGAGTACCGAGTAGTCAAGCAGCTCATGGACCACGGGCACGCGCATCAGTCGCTCGATGAATGGCGTCCTCCCGGACCTGGGGAGCTCATCGAGCAATGTCTTGTCTGTCCGGATCCGGCTGTCAACATGCTTGCCGATTGGAACAAGAGAGATGATTGGTGGGCGCATTTTTACAGCTTCAACATTGACGGCAACTTTGAAGGAGCCCACACAACATCTCGTGAACCGGGAAACAATGTGCCTATATTTCCCGGCTCAGGCTCCTTTGTTCATCCCGTCAAAGCGTCTTTTGCTTTGGCTAGTGCTAAGGATGATCGCAGTTTGCCTCATGATGTGGTAAGACCTATATCCTCTACGCCCAGATGCTGCACCTCAGACAACTCGTATATCGAACAGCGGCAGAGAGTTGACGACGAGCCATGTCACGAGCACAAGGCGGCAAGCTTGCTGGGAAAAACTCGGGATACCTCAACCGACATAAAGGGAATTGGCACCATTGCATGCGCACGACATGGCTGCATCCACCCAGGATCAACGTGCAATTTTGAACTAGGCGAAAGGTAATATTTCTTGTCGTGTCACCATGAAGATATGTGCTCACTGAGGTCAAAGTCAACCGCCCGTCGATCACGCCTTGGATAACACTTGGACTATCGGTTGCGACTTCCACCAGATACGACGGGCACAAATTCTGTACGACATCAATTGTCAGTACAGTGTCCACCTAGAAGAACGCTTCAAGGCGGCAGGATATTCTTGGCCCCAGTTCGAATCGTTGATGCTCGGGGTTGGCGTATGGCACATATATGGCCACGTACTGGAGTGTTTCTCCAGGTATTCCCCTCTTTATGCTTATCGCTTCGGGATCGTGGATGGCGAAATTGTCGAGACGCTTTGGTCACTGCTGAACCACATTCTGAACTCCTGTCGAGGCATGTCCCTCGCACATAGAGAAGAGACCATCAGCTATGCGATGTCGGATATCAATCGCAGCAAGAACATCGAGTCCGGTGTGTCACGCACTCCTCGTCCGAATATACTACTAACAGTGGTCACAGTGGACTCCCTGAACCGGAAGATGAAGAAGGCACTCAGAGAGCTAGGCAGACGCCAGCAGGTGATCGAAGACTTGAACAAGGACGTGGATATCTCAACGCAGAAGGAATGGGATGACTTGAGGCAGGACATCGAACGGCGGAGGGCAATGCCGATGCCAAGTGCTGAACGGCGCCGTGGCGTCAGAGACGAATACGGACCGCGATCAGTCGATGGGTTACTGGAGACAGCTGAAAAAGGGGTGTGCCCATGCCTTCCGTACTGTGGTGTGCCATACTGACATGATTGCATGTCGCTTTGTAGCGCCGGACCGGAGAGAGGTTGTAACCTCGCTGATGGCCGAAGAAGCAGTACAAAGTGATGGGGATGATCTGGTGAAACCCATCATTGCCTCTATAGCCGTGTTAGAAGAACAGTGAGCTAAACTTGTTACTGCTCGAACAAATCTCCGCTGACAATGGTCAGGATAAAACTCCGAATATTCGTGAAGCAGACAGGAGCATCAAGTTCTGAAGAAGATAGAAGACGGCGTACGTCTTGGAGACAACGCGTGGGAAACAGCATAGCAAAGTGTAACGCAGAAATGGCTCGAGCGCTTGACGGATCGCACGGCGAATTGGACGGGTTTCTCCTTGCACCTATCCTATCGGAGGACGAATGGGAAGACGACATCCCCGAGCCACGCTCTGGGCACGATCACGACACTCGCGGAAGACGATTGGTAGATCCCGAGAGACAGGTTGTTGATATGCCTTCTTCCCGTTGGAAGACAGCAAATGATCTCGAGAACTTGACTGCAAGGCAGCGGCGGGCTCTCCGTATCGAGTTCAGGCTACGCATGGTACACCTCGATGAGATTCTATATCTCATACGCCAAGGTCTTGTTGATCAAGCCCATACCTACCGAAGCGAGATACGATCTTCTGCGGCGCATCCCTCATACCTGAAGGACAAGAAGGCTCGCAGCAAAGCACGTACGCAGGGAAAGGAGGTGCGCGTACTGGCTCAGATTTACGCTGTCTCCAGGGAGCGCACGATGGCAGTATGTCCCGCAGATGAGCTGGAGCTCCTCGCAAAGCGCTACAAAGTTTTGACTGGGGACGACATTCGGTGCGATACTGCCACCTACGCGCCCACAAGTTCCGATCGCTTCGAATTGCCCTGGATATGGAAGATGAACAGAAGAGCCGATGAGACCGATGACGAGTATCTTTCAAAGTGTGAGTCCAGGCTGTACCTTTATCTGGGTATCGAAGAGATGGTTGAACGGTCGATAGTCTTCCGTACTCGTTGGATCGAGGCGAAGTCTACACTTCAGCGTTGCAAGGAGGAGATTATCATTCTAGAGGCAGAGATGATCCGATGCATACTGGGCTGTCGCTATCGGGCAGCGACTTGGGGTAGCAGAGCATCGTGCGCTCGGGATCTCTCGCCGGGTCACCAGGCCTTCGCTCAGAAGCGACGGTATGTCTGGAAAGATCTTGGGGCTCGCGCGGTCGAAATTTTTGCGCAGTTTGGCGTGGGATTGCCGTAAAATATGTATAAGGTTACATTATAACCGAGCACTCACAGCGCTGACAAACAATGTTGAGCAATCGGGAAGTTGGATTCAAGCGTCATGACATCCCGAAACCATGCGGACCTCCGGGCCCCATCCCGACGTAGTCAATCTCATGTCTTGGGTTTGGAAACCGTGTCCTTCTCCCGACCGAGCGCTGCCAAATATTGCTCAGCACGACGGTTCCTCTCGTCGCAATATTCGTCCATATCAGGCACCGGTCGCCGCCAAGCAATTGATCCCTTGAAGTATGGGGGCTTTGTTGGCCGTAGAGAAGAGGGTGCTTTTACTCGGCGGACGATTTCTTTTTCTACCAACCGACGTTTGTGCTCCCCGCGCGTCAGTTCCTCCGTCTCCGCGGGGGTCAACACGTCGTTGCCATGAGTAGCTGCGAACGCGTGAAGGAGCCGACAATTGTATGCAGCCTTCACTTTCTCCCAAGCCCTCACCTTTCTCGCAACTTTGTTCTCCACCGTGATCAGTCCACCTTGAAGGTGGTTCACCAAATCAGCGCCTTCCGGTCTCCCGACGTAAGGCCCGTTGCTAGTGTCAGGACTTCGGTACGACGAGAGCTGTGGAATGATTAAATTTCAGTTTCCGAGCTGATAGTAAACTACCGACGTACACCTGGCATTGTAAGAAGAAAGTACGCAGCATCAGCAGCCACAAGCGCACTAGCGTCGCGCATAGGCAACGGCTCCTCATGACGCCACCAGAGCCCACCAATATCACGATATTGCGCGGTTCTGACGAGCGGATTGCGGGCTTGACTGTCCAGCAGTTGGTCGAGCGCCACCTTGCCCTCTAGTTCAGACGGTGAGCCTGCGCACAGCAAGGCAGTGTTGCGCAGAGCATGGGCGCCGTGGTCACCGCCATACAGGCGGGACTGCAATAGGTCCTGCACGAAGGCCCGCGGTGCGAGACCGCGTAAACCGAGACGTCCACTCGTCTGCAGTGCAGCAGCCTGACATGGTAGTGAGTATGGCTGACACACTGATGAAACTGCGACGCACGTTCTCTAGTTGTAGACCATCGGCGAGGCGCTGGTCAGAGAGGCGCAGTTGTTCCTCCAGCGGTCCATCTCCTCGACGTACGAAGTAATGATTATAAAGGTCTCGATTCCTGTCGAAAAGCAAGTCGTCTTCGGCGGATGAAAGATCGGGCTTGGACGCGCTGTCGTGAGATGACATGTCTACTTGTGGTGGTTCCATGACAAGGCGCTCCGATCGCCATTAATGCCGGCAATTCCCGATCAACATCGCGGCCCGGAGGATAAAGAGGCGGAGGCGGGTGAAGGCGGCGTCCTTTACATCCCAACATGGACGCTAACGTATCTGGCTCAACAAGTCATCTGAACATCCCGAGCGGCGCTGACTGCGGCTCATTCGTACAAAGAATGGCTGTTCGTCTGGCAACCATTGTGTCGTTCTTTCCTGATGGCTACAAAGACATCGGTGTATTGGCCTGCATTGGGAGTGAACTCGTGCGTTATAGTTAGCTTTCCAGGGAAACGCATCTAACACGACTCCAAAGGAGATTGTTCTCGCCTACATTGGCCATTGGCGTCTAATCGCTGGAACCACTGGACTTTCCGAGTCTACACTTCCCGGGAGCTTTCTTCTGGAACTGCAAAATACGCTGGACAGTGAAAGGGGTCTCCATTTCCACCTGATCGCGGCTGCAAAGCAGCTGCTAACCTCAGTGACGGAAAATAGCGAGCTTCCGGATCCACCATTCAAGCGCTGGTGGCTTCACATTCCGAAAGACGGCCCGCCTCCCGCCGGTTGGAAACCCTTTAACCTCGGCATGGAAATCATTCGAGAGGCCTTGACCGCTGTATTACAGTTTATCACATCCCTTCCTGAGGATCAGTACTGATTATATAATAGGTGGGTCCGCTTCAAGAAGCCTCGGATCAGGTTCAAAACCTCAATAGGGCGTTGGAGAAGTTGGAGAACGATCTTATTGCCCGTATGGCTCGAGAGGAAGACACATTTCTGTCCGATGCAGTGGTTCTGAAGAATACGGTAACCCGATATAAGCAGCACAAGCCAGGAGTCCGGGAGACTAGGCAGTAAGGTCGGCTCGTCAGGATTAGATACAAATGATTGTTCAGGTTCAGGCAGTACGATTCGCGAGTTGTTCTTGCATTCCCGTAGTCCGACGCTATCCTGCTTTTTGAGCGAGCCATGGCTGCCCACGCGACACTTTTTAAGTCGAAGGTTATATGATAGGCCAAACCCAACCAATTGTCGCCGACATCACGAAGAAGACCTGCTTTGAAGCGGGCTACGGTAGTGGACCGCGCAGGTCTGACCGTACTATTTGAGTATAAGCTGTTGGATCAGGCCAGCCCCTGCACCTGTTGGATGGTCCTGTCCTAAACTTTAGTAGCGGTAAGGAAGAGCGCACTCAGAACCTGCGTCATCATATGACCAGCACGTGAGGTCCCCACAGCGCATCTGCGAAGGAGAGACAGCCTACAAAGCCGTCCCGAACCCCCCCGGTATCCCAGTTTGCAGTGCACAGTGTTGAGCGGCCCCATTGGAATCCTACGTCGCTGAAGAACGAGCGCAAAGGGTGCTCGACGTTGTCGTACTGCACGAGAGATCCTTTCACGTGTCAGTCATATGATGACGTAGGTTTTGAGTGCGCCCTGCCTTAATGTTTTCTGACATTTGTTCAGAGAATATAAAGTTGGATTTACGCAGGTGGCGCTGATGGCCCTCTGACTTCGCGTGTGGTGGTGATGGGCGACATGAATGTAATGAAGCGCATGGGATGCAGTTCAAAATGAGCACTCACTGGAGACAATGGTGCGGCTGCCAGGGCAAACAAGGGCTGGTCAACATACTTCCAATCATCATGATCGCATCGGATGGACACAAAGAAATGTTATCGCCACCGCACATATGAGTATAGAATAATGTAGGATCTGGACTATGCACAAATGCTTCAACGCCCTTTCCCACCTTTCCGAGCATTGGGAGCTTGGGTGTGAAGTGCGTCCCAGAGACTCGGAGGACGTCCCGAGCGAGTTCCGACTTTATGAACAACCCATATAGCATCCGGGAAGAACTTGGTATTCCTCATCCTGCGGCAGTTTCGTAGAGAGCCCACGAGTTCGGCACACACGTCCAAGTCGACTCCCAGCGCTGTGGATAGGTCTCCAATCGCTCGCGCTCGTATACGATCCGGACGCAGCCAGTTGCCCTCGTGCTCTTGCTTCTGGAAGTGCCGTATCTCCTCTGGTGTGGAGTTCTTGGGGTACTTCAGCGGTTCCCGGTTCTCCTGCCACAGAATACTGAGATGAACGATTGCACGAGCGACATGTACCAGGATCTCCGCCAACCCAGCACAACTCCAACGGTCGTCCCAAACGTCGCTGGGATCCCAGGCCTTCTGGATAATCGTCTGATACGAGCCTTCAGGATAGTTCAGCGCCGATGCTTGAACGTGTCCGTCCCGAGCCACGGCTTGCCAAATCTTCTTAAAGGAAATGAGGTCGTTGTCGAGATACTTTCCTCTTACGGGTTTGGCAACTCCCGAAAGCGTGTCGTTGAACGCGATCGAGACGCCGACGGACAGAAGAGCCGAAAGTCCGTGTGAGGTGTTTTCGGGATGAGGCCGTGAGCGAATGACTATCGGGATGTCTTAGCAATGTCCACGAAAACGCAGAGGATACAGCAGCGCACCCGGGTCTTCGGGAGCCAGCTTGAGGCGAGAGTCGGAACGGAATCCCTCTACCCAGAACGTGGCGAAAGCTTGAAAGATCGACAAGAAGACATCATGCTCAGCGTTCGAGATTTGTGTCGTTGTGAACTTCGAGCAAATCCAACCACAGAGCGACCGTTGCAACTGGGTGTAATGGAAAAAATGGATCCCCGACATCATGCTGTCAAGAACGGTGAAGACTGCATGTCGCGCGTTGGGAGGCAGAATACTGCATGTGTGTCGTTGGTAAAGTTGTTGAACATGAATGTCACGAGCGCAATACTCACAGTACATCGCCTGGGAATAGAAGAACGGCAACCCAATCCGTAGGTTCGCCGGGAAGGCTCCGGATGTCTCTCGCAGCAAGATCAACGAAATATTCGGCGTCATCAACATCGATTTCTGTCCGACCCTCCAAAACCGTTTTCCGTATGGCCCAGTATTTGACGCCGTCGAGGATGACGATAGCGGTGTGAACTCCCGCAGTATCGACATGTCCCAGCGACAGGGCGTGTTTGTGAGATATGATCGCCCAGTTCAATCCGGTGGCTATGTCGATGTCAAGTTTCCACTCTGCGCTACCCCGGACAGAGTCTAGCGCTTCCTCTCTCGCTCTCAAAGCAAGACTCCCATAATCAAGATCACTAGATCAATTGTTAGTCTCCACGTAAACTACTCTGCAACATTTTCATACCTTTGGCGGGGAATAGGAACCAAAGGACTGGTTTGAGGCGCACTCAAAAGATTGTAAACCCTCTGCGGATCGCGATAATCGTCATGCACAACATCCGCAAGGGATACCCAGCGATGAGTTACGCCGGAAGGTCGATACTTATTCGCGAAGTCTAGGCATAGTCAATTGATATCAATTGGAAGATATGCAAACATATATCCTAGATTACCTTGAACCTGTACGGGAGTCGCTCCACTCCGAATCCTGGACGCGCTCGCGATGCCGAACTTCCAGCCTGCGTTCAGATGGGAATCGCGGATGATCACGACGTTGCCCGAGCCCATGCTCGACTCGATTGCCCCAAGAGGAAGGTCGTACCACTGACTGAGAGAGTACGTCTCAATCCAAGACGGTAGCTGCTGAGGTTGTAACTCTCGCATATCCTGATCAATCCTATGGAGCAGCGTGAAGCCCTGATTTCGCTTGGACCAAAGACTTAGCGCAGGGCCGGTGAAAGGATAGATAATCATCACCCACTACGGTCTTTGGGAGAGCCACCCGTATATCGTACAGCAACATGGGTCTCAGGTCGCTGATTTGATCGGGCGCAACCTGCAAGGGAATGTCGCGCGGGATGTCATCACCCCTTCCCCACGAATCTTCTACGTCGCTGTCGTCGCGCTGCGAGCAGTCGCTGTCGGTGGCGTCTTCCTCCGTGCTCTGCTCTTCCTCCCACTGCGTGCCCGTCCACTGTTGACCCTCGCTTTGCTCGTCGGAATGTATGGAAGCGCCTGGAGAAGGATGTGCGGGCGGGACGAATGCGGGTTTCTTTGCCGGCCCGATAGAACCGTATTTGGACGAGCATGTACTCCCGGACGATTGCGGCGCGCGTATGTTAGAGTTTTGGATTTCGGATGTTGATTCTGGGGAATATGACCAACTGATATGAATCACAAAGTCTTCGCGCGCTGATATGACATACCATCATTCATAACTGACCCGGGATGGTTGTCAGCTTCCCGATGGGTTGTCGAGGATCCTCGCCATAACCTGCTCTCCAGGGATGTACGACGTCCAAACGCTCGAACCTATTACCCGTTGGTAACGTATATCCGCCAATGTTCAGAAAGAAGCTCACTGCGAACGATCGAGCCCAATCAATGATGGGTTTGCGCCGAGTGCCATCTGCCCTAAGGAGCGACTTTTCGACTCGTCGCGTTTCAAGATCCAGCGCTGCCTCCTCTCCCTCACCGTTTAGCTCGTAGATGGGCCAGCGAAGGGACTTCCAAGACTTGTCGAGTGTATTGCGGACCTGCTTCAGCGTCTTCGTACGAACGGACTGCGTATCTGTCTTGATGCTTGGAGCTGGAAGTCGAGTAGCTCCTACTGTCTGAGAACCATTCAGAATATCTTCACCGTGGCTATAGGGGCAAAACAGACCGTCGCGGAACTCGATATGCCACTTGAGTTGGGAGCGTCGCCATCTTGCACTGCGACAATGCCGCCTCGCCTCTATCATGCCATCTATGAGCTCATTTTGTCCTTCGGTCAGTTTTTTGACTCACCTTCGACGAATACTGCCTAAACTTTTGAGCAGACATGCGTCCCGAAGACGTCCCCGCGCCTTCGCCATCCGTCTCCTTCTCCGCGCGCACGTCCATGGAGTCTGTACCATCAACGCCTGCCGTATCTGAGTCTGATACCTTGAGTGTCATGTGTGTGTTAAGAAAGGGTGCCTCAGACCAAAGACATCATAACGGACCTGCCCATCTGACATCATCATGTCAGGGTTCAACGGTGACAGGCCCTCGGCAGCGGCCGCATGAGCGGGACCACGCCTGAACAACGTTGTTTTCGGAAGAACTGGAATGCGGGGAATGTCATATAGAGAGTGCGGCAGGAGGCTGAGATCCGTGCTATTGGATGTGAGCTCATCCGTAGATTCTCCTGCAAAGCTTCAATCTCGCAGGCTATTGGCGTGTGGTGAAGTGTCTACCTCTCAAGGAAGTACCACCTCTGTGGGATTGGCCCACAGATCCCCAGTCGGACGGATCCCCGAGACTTCGAGACGAAGAAGAGCGAGACACAAGAGGATCAGACAAGTTCAGCCTGCCCATCGTTGTCAGGTGAAGAAGTCAATGCGTGGTCGCGACACTTGGTCGATGGTCACTGATGTCACACAGCGCCCACGTGCTTAGTCCCGAAGACGCAACGTGACTCCTGACCCTCCCATCAATACATTTCGGGAAGGACACATAGTTCCGAGACACTCGGTTCCGTGACGACTGCTACGATGCACGCGCTAGCATCATTCCAAAGAACTGTGCGGCGCGAGAGTTTTCAGGTACAAGATGAATACATACACAAGTGTATGATCGGTGCGTAACATCGTGTATTGCGTCTGAAATGGAGGGATTGGGTAGTACGATTGAAAGTCTTAGCGATGAAGGTACGGAATGGTCAGAGAGGAACGGGAAGGAAAACACCAGCAAGGTGGTAATACAGACTATTATACATCGATAACGGAAGTGACACACGGAATATTTGCACGAGCTAGGTAACAGAGCATGAGATGACGTAGTGGACCATTGAGGCGGCCGATTGTATGAAGGTCCGAGGCCGAAGAACTAAGGATGAAGCTGGGCGATGCGTGCGCTCTTGAGACGAGGTTCTGGTAGTGGAGCTTTGCCGCGAGTTTTCTTCGCGGGCGGAGCCTCCGCGGTGGCGTTTGGCTCGCTGCTGGCCTTGCGCTTTGTCCCAGATTTTACCGGTTTCGAAGGAATGGGAGCGCGGCGCCCCGCCCTAGAGGGTCCTTCGTTCTCAGAATCGGAGATGCCCTCGTTGTCAGAATCTTCGCCGATAGCGTTGTCTTCCCCTTCATCCGCGGACTCCTTGCCGGTAGCGTCCTCTTCCCCTTCATCCATGGGCTCCTCGCCGTTCGGCCCCGCAGCGTCTGTAGGAGGTTGATCCACGTCCACGTCCACGTCCATGCCGTCTACAGAAGACTCCGTCAGCGTTGTATTTGGCGATGGTGGGCCCATTGAGCACGACGTACAAGGCCCGCCGGCATCGCTATCAGGACCGGAACAGGCTCCGGAATGTCCAGTCGACGCCGGTGGAGGTGTGAATGGGCGGACAGCAGAAGAGTTGGCGTTGAGCACGACTCCGTCTTGACTCCCCCCCCGAACTCGCTGGGGCGCTGGACGCGCTTCGTCCGTGACCACGTTGCCATGCGCAGCCGGCGCCGGTGGAGATTTGTACGAGCGCACAGAAGAGCTGACATCGAGGGCGACTCGGTCTTGACTGTCGCCCATAACCGGTTGAGGCACAGAACGTTCTTTGCCGGTACCCATGTTGCCAAGCGCAGCCATCGTCGGTGATGATGCGGATGGATGTCCAGAAGAGTTGGCGTCGAAGGCGACGCGATCTTGACTCATACCTGGAACTTGCTGAGACACAGGACGAGCGTCGTTGGCAACCTCGGTGCCCGGGTGAACATCCTTCCGCACTGGAGCCACTGTGACATCCCGAACGTCGAGTCCGGGACCGGCGGGTTCAATGCTGGCACGTGCTTGCTCAGGTTGACGCTTCAAGAACGCTTCCAAGAGCGTTGCGAGACTAGACACGCTGTGCTTCATGCCAGAAACATCCGCCGTCAACGCATCTTGACGAATCTCCAGCGTCCGCATGGATTGACTGAGTGCCGAGACAGAGTGGGACGACTCAGGGTCCGCTGAAGCGACTGGGGAGCTGCTCGAGGGGCGAGCGATAACCTCAACGTCGGAGGGAGGGGCTGGCGAGATGCCCATCTTCTGCTCGAGGCTAGTGAGGACGGAGAGGAGCTTGGCGTTGACGTCCGTATTCTGGTTGACAACACCATCGATCATCGCGTTGCGACGATTCACTGCTTCCTCCGTCTTTGTCAAAGCAGTGCGCATCTCAGTGTGAGACTTCTCCACAGCTGTTGAGTGAGTAGAGAGCTGGGTCGAGAGTGCGTCGTAATGTTGCGTCAGAGTCGGCGTCAGATGCTCCTTCAGGGCCTCAGACAGCGCGTTCGGCACGATGGTCCGAAGCAACTCCTCGACGCGAGTGCTTGCCTCAAGGCGGCGGTCAGGCGCTGCAAACCCATCGCGGATTGATGTGGCCAGGGTATGTACGCAGTCGAGAACGGTTCGGGCGTCTATCGCAGTAGAGGGCGAGGACTCGACCTCGCGCGTATGATGAACATGTGCTGGAGAAACTCCTCCTCCGGTCCGAGGGAAGACACGTTCTGTCGAGGCCTGGTGATCGACGCCATAGTCAATAGGTTGCTCCATGTTCATCTGATCCTGCATATCGACGTCCTCGACTTCTGTCGCAGGCGCTTTGCCGTTGGCGCGAACGTTCCTTAAAATTGGCGAGCTAGTCCCGCCGCTGATAGAAGGCTGCGTTGGCTCAGCAGCCCGAGTGGGACGTTGGGCGTTGTCAACCTGGCTTTTGCGTGGCCTTGAACGTCCATTGGCCGGAGGGCTTGTCCTTGCGCGCGGGCGAGTCACGTCTGGAAACGGTGGGGCCGGCGGGGATGGATTGCGTTGCGCAGATAGATCGGGGGAAGGCGAACGCTCCTCTGATGGTTGCGCGCGCTTGCGACCTCGGGGGCCCGTGGGCTTGGTTTTCCGCGACGGCGCTGGTTGAGGGTTTCCACTACTTTTTGCCTTCGGTGTCGGTGCCACAGGTTCTATAATTCGTCAGTTTTGCTTCGTCCGTATCGTCCCGAAAGTACTGACCGCCATCTTCACTGTAGTACTGCGGAGGCATCGTGAAAATTCCTTCTTCACGGAGCCGCCTGAGCAGGTCGATACGCCTCTTGAACCTTGGCACCACAGTCGTAATATCTTTCAGGCCAGCTGGAAGGGAAGCGCCACTGCAGCTGAGTTTATACTGATGGCAGCCAAGGCACGTGAGCTTGTCTTTGCTGTTCCGTTGGCCCCGATATACGCAACGCCACTTCTCTTTCCGACAGTGCTGGCAGGTCGTCTCGCAGTCAAGACCTTCCTCAGGGAGCCCGTGGAATAAGAGCAGTGCGATGACATCGAAAACAGTGACCGGCTTGCCGACCGTCTTGGTCACCGGATTGTACTCGTGCTCTGCATAGAACTCTGCGAGAGTGGTTATTCTGAGCGCGAAGTTTCTCAACCCCGCCGGTAATCTCCAAATGTCGGTCCTATCGGTTGACGTCTCCGCCTTGGGGGGGCGCCCACGCTTCTTAGGCGGCGGCGTTGGCGTTGTTGGCACAAAGTCGGCGTCGGAAGTCTCGGCGGTGGGAGCGGCGTCGTCTTGCATGACGGCGTCGTCCTCGTCACCCGCGCTCGGTGCTGGCGATGACACGCGGCGTTTCCCTTTGGAACGAGGTGGACGCGAACTGGCGTCCCGGGATGGGCTCTTAGCAGCGTCATCGGGTTTGACTGCAGGACTCCCGCGTTCTTGCTTGACTGGATGCGGTACCTCCGAGTCTGTGTAGTCTTCGTCGTCGGCGTCATCGCCCCGATCGCCGCCCTCAGTTCGCAGACCCTGTAGAAAGCCGAACCTTGTATCGCGGCGGGCGGGAAGCGGCTCCGGGTCAGGATCATCGTTGCCGTTGGGAAGCTCTGCGAAGATTGCTGGCGGCTGCTCGTGAGGGCTCGGCACTGAGTGAGGCTCACTGCCGGCGCCTGCTGGGACAGGTTCCGAGGAAGGACCAGCGTGATCGTCTGCAGCCGAATGCAAGGGAGGGGGCGCGGCCTGTGCCCCATCTTGCGGCCCTACGGAAGGAGACGTGGCATTTGCACCCTGTCGGACGGGTTTGGTGGAGGGAGTAGGCGTGGCCTGCGCACGACCTTGAGACCTCGAAGGAAAACCGGCAGCTTCTTCGTCGTGCGACGCATGTTGAGGGAGGAGGTGCGCACCCTGCGCACCATCCTGCAGGGCTGCGGAAGACGGCAGCGTGTCCACATCATCCGACACCACTTGTGAGAGAGCGTGAGTGGCTTGCACGCCACCTTCAGACGTTGCGGCGGAGGCGACGAAGTCCCCATCGTGAGGCGTGCGCCCAGGAAGAGCGAGCATACTCTGCGCACCATCCTGTGAGACTGCAGGAGGCGACGCGACGTCCGTATCGTTCTGAGCTCCTTGGGAAACTACTGGTGTGGCCTGGGCGCCATCGCCTAGCAACATTTTGGAGGTGGGCGCGCGTTCCTCGTCGTGAGGCAGCAGTTCGTCGTCGGATAGTTCTTCAGAGCGCTCGCCACGACTCGTTCCCGACTTTTGTTGGCCGAGCCTCAATACGATGTTGTTGGCAGTTATCTGCCAGTTCTTATCTAGTACCTAATATTCAGTAAACGAGACCTGGAGGTAGATCGATAATAACGCGCACCAAGCATCTTCCACCATCGTAAGCGACCAGGAACTACGCGAGGTGGAAGGAGATCTCCCTTCAGTAGACCTTCGTCGCGGTAGAGGGTCCCAAGCCGATGTATCGAAAGTAGTTGTCCCAGTGACTGGAGCGTACGGAATAACTCCTGAGCAGACTGCAGGGTTTTAACTTCCGGGAGGTCGTAGTAAATGGACTGTGAGATATTTAACCCGACGGACAACATAATAATAAAATAGTACGCACAAACTCGTCGAGCCATAGGTTGTGTGCGTGTAACAGCCGGGATTTCTTGCTACCAGCCTCGTCAGCCGATTCCATCAGCTCTGCTATCATTTGCCGAGCTTCCTCGAGCCTCGTCCTGTGAAATGTGGCTGCTGAATACGATCGCTTTCGCTCCAAGAATCTGCGAGCGTGTTCACGCAGATCGCGCCTTGTGATTGTGGGCGGGTTGGTGCCATCAAGAGGCGCTATGAGCTCGCTGTGGGAGGTGGTAGACGAGTCTTGCATGGGACGGGTGGTTTGAGTCGCGGATTGCTGCATGGCGGTGTCAAGAAGGGGCGAAAGAAGCGTGGAAAGCGTTCCGAACCGCGAGACTGATATATAAGTGGCCGCCCACTCACGCGGTGTTCGTTGATCGAGGGCCAGACTACCGCCCGTTGATCAACTTCTTGTGGCGCGCTAATCTCTTCCCGAACCCTCACGTTGCATGTCCGACTACCAACATGAACGTAGAAGCTTCACCTATCCCATACCCGACGACTCCCAACTCACGCACTCCTCTTCTTTCTTTGAACTCTCGCTTGTCTGCCATCGCACTTAGCCATACTTCGAAAATACCAGCACAAGTAGACGCAGCTGTAATAGGGGGTTCGGGGGCCTCTAACGTTGATGTTCTGGCCTGCGAAGTAAGAGTGCTGCGTTTCTACGGTTGCATGTCTGATTTACATACATGACTAGGTGTCCGTGGTGGCGGAACAACGCTCGACACTCAAGCGGAAGCGTACTGCGTCCTCTTCTTCGCGTCCGGAAACCGCGCTCGTACCTGCTTCCCGCGGTAGCAAACGATATCGTCCCACTCCCCCGGACGCCGACGGCCTTGCTCTCCGACTTGGAGAGTCCCGCGTAGCATCAATCCCGGTCGGAAGTGCCTCGCACAGTGACGACATCCTGGATATTACGCATGAGTGTGGCCTACAACCAGCTGTCGGTTTTCTGTCGGACTCTCTCGACAGCATGCGCTTATCTCCGGCGCCACCTGTCAACCGTCAAGACCAGCCGCAGGTTGTTTCCGATGTCACCGAAGGGTCCCCACACGACGACCAGCAATTTTTCGACGACCATACCCTTCTGTTGATATCAGGACTTCTACCTGAGTCTACGCCGCCCAGCCCCTTGACTTTCGACGACTTAGAATCCCCGTTGGGTCCAGTTCTTTCTACACGCAGCTCCAGAGAGCCCGTTGTGGCAGCCCAACCTCCCCTCGTCACGCCGATCCAGACACCCGTCGAACACGCCGAGCCTGACTCGTACGAGCGACTTCTTAAGCCTTTGACTGGATCTTTCTCAGAGGCCACCTCGACCGATCTTACGCGCATGATAGAGACTTCTATCCCCAATACGTGCAGTGATATGGAGTGGACTACGTCCGATGCGACTTTACAACCGGCGAGCGGGTTCATGGACGACGAGCTGGACACGGAAACTCTCGACAGTAACGTGCTGCAGGCAGCATCCGGCTTTATCTCGGATCCACCCACACCACATCTCCATCCAGCGTCTGCGCTATTGGACAGTAGCTATCCGCAACAAGACCATCCTGCACTCGCCGCGTGTGTAACACCCGTTGCTGGCGGTTTATCCATGAGCAACGCAGAACCGATGGACACCTCGTCCGATGCACAACCGCAGCCAGCATTCGGCAAGGCCGTCCCCCAGCCACCCAGTCGAAAGCTTGATGCGGCCCCAGAGTCACATATGCACGGGATCAATGACCCCGATTTAGACTCGTACATTCGGCCTGCCACCGGGTTTGCTCCCGATGAAGACGAGGCTGAACCGTCCGACGGACACACGGTCCTCCAACCCGTTATTGGGTTTCTTCCCGATGCGGACCCGCCACCACCGGAAGATTCAGGCATGGTGCGCGACACGCGGACACATCACATTGTGAGGATAATATTTATGTTGTACCTTCACAATGATGGTGACTTGAACCCGTCTACTTGCTTTTATCAGACGTCAGGAGCGCCAACGATTCAAGCTGCGGAGAACGTCGAGTCCCAAGGATCACCCAGGGGCGGTAGATCAAGTTCCGACGTCAAGTCCCAAGCCCCCAGAGCTCCCGAAGGGACACGGCCGCTTCGGGACGTCGTATTTGACTTGGACCAGCCAGCTGCATACCGCCAAGCTTGTATGGAAGATCTGAACGAACCAAACGAACCAAGGGGGTTTAGAGACTTTGTCAGCCGTAGTGATGCAAGTATAAGTATGTAGTTATGCTATGTGAATGCTCCCGATGGCTGATATGAATGAATCCTGTAAAGGTCGTTATGCAAGATGGACCGGTTACCTAGCGGAAAGTGCTCCCTGGGACGTCGCTCGGCATCCGCTAAGTACGTCTGACAGTGGAACACAGGGCTCTGCAAGCACGACGTCTCGTCAAGACGCAGCTGTCTCTGCACTCGATGCTGTAGCATTGGATGCCCTCCGAGTCAACATTGATCTACGGAACCTAGAGGATAGCCGTGATATCCTGCGCCAAGTGCGTACGCTGAGAGGGATGGCGACGGGATTGCTCAGGGGACCAGTAATGAGGCGATATGCTGAATTGCAAGACATTAATATTGTATTTAAAGGCGCTGCATCGGAACAACAGCATCAGGGATAGGATTGGGAAGGGAGTACATAAGTCTGTGCTGATACTACTACCCAACACTTACTAATTACAATATTAACCTTACTTAGCTGAGATACTCATGAGAAGTTCGTACTTGGTCCCGCCGACCTTTTAACTCCCGAGGCAGGTCTTCGGGGCCTTGGACGCAGTCTGTGAGTAGAAGGGGCGCTTTGTTCGGGTTCATCTGCACCCGATGATTCTGCCGCAAAATGAACAGCCTTCCCGAGCCTGAGATCCACTCCTGCAAAGCCTCCGCTTCGTTCCGCCCTTGCTCCTGGGTACTGAGCATAATCTGGCTCCGACTCAGACGTCCCAGAGATCGCCCAACGTACAGCGTGCATGCTGCTCTGCAACAAGCAATCTTCATCGGAGACGAAATAATCGTCTTCTGAAGACTGCGGCAGGGGACTCTCGCGGAGCATGACTTTTGACTTGCTTCGTGTGACGCGCTTTGGGGGTTTGGCTCCCGAAGCTTTTTTGGCGACAACATTTGCCTTGCGAGCCCGCTTCGTAGGTCCCTTCGAAGGCAGATTTGATGGGGCCTTGCGTTTGCTTCCTCGTCGGGTAGATTTGTTACCCCGCGCGGGCGCGTTTGGTGGATCGGCAGTGGTGGGAGGATGCACAAGGAGGCTTACATCTGACTGCGCCGGCTTTGCACGTCGCCGTCTGGTGGTAGACGGTTTGGGTGGAACAACGCGGGGAAGAAGGGGCGTCTCGTAATGCAGACTTCCGGAATCTGGAAGTGCGATGGTTTCTGCAGCAGGGCGTGGAGGATGAGCAGTCCCAAACTTGGCGATGTTCAGCTCGTTCTGCTCTCGGCGAATGGAGGCCAGTGATTGCTGAGTTCTCACTGCGTTGTATTCAATTGCGAGGCCCTCCTCAACCAAATCCTGCATGGCATTCGTAGGCTGGGCGTTGATTGCGTCTGACAATCTCTGGGATGGATCGCCATCAGGAAGAAGGTCGAAGTCGTCGTCCAGCGCGTATTCGTCTTGCCATTGGTCGCGTCCTACATCCGAGATCGCGTCCTGAAGCATGTCTGCATGGAGTTGAGCTTGCGCGTCGAAGCTTTCCACCAGCGCAGTCTGCAGTAGGGTATCCGACAGCCAAGAATCTTGGAGGTAAGCGGGAGCTTGTGCATCTCCACCTTCTTCGTGCCACCGCAAGTCCTCCAGCATCATGCCAACCTGAGCAAGAACTGTTAAGCCTGCCTCGATGCTTCGAGACGCTCCTGTTTCACGATCCACAAAGAGACCCTCCTGCTTCCACCAGCTTGACAGCATGTTCATACCGCTCTCGGGATCGAGCTTGTGAACAGCTTTGGGAAGCCCTCAAGATGATTTCGCCCATATTGATTCTCCGGGAAGAGCAGGACAGTCGATGATGTCGTCTGTTCCCTGATCTGTTGGCTGCATGATTTCATGTTCAGTAAGTTATGTCACGGCTGAGATATGACAAAACCGCGTACCATGCGCTGTACAGTCTCGAACAGATCTAACATCCCGGGGAGAGATGATACAAGCGACCAGACATACTCCATCCGCGAGGTGAAGAATGAATATAATAGTGCAGGGGGCACGCCTGGATGCCGTGCTTGCGTTCCAGCTTTGTAAAGATATCCGTGAAAGCTTTGCAGTATATCGCGAAACTCATCATCTGATAGTTGGATGGTTAACGCGGAAGCTCTGGCATGAGAGTCCACACTCCCCGATAGAGCCCAGGCTGCAGGATTTTCTGACTCAAGCTGCTGTCGATGTGCCTTGGCTCTCAGCAAGAGTAATGCCGCAAGGATGAAAGACCACGTCATATCCAACCCAGAGAAGATCTCGCGATCTCGTTTGTCACGGAAAGACCACTTCCGCGTCCGCAAGAAAGCACACAGCTGGTCGACCTCTAGCTGCGATATGAGATATGAGCGCTCCAGATCCCAAGACAAGAAAGACGGGAAGTCAGGTTCGTGGTGGCGCTCCTGAGAGTCTGTGAATCTCCACAGTTCGTAGCGGCGATTGTGTACCGCTTCCTGTTTGTGCTCGATCAGTGCTCTGTGTATATATGAGTGACCTGGGAATGTACCGGAAGCTGAACTAGAAGCAGAGTCGAAGATAGAAGGGCATCTGCGAACTCGCAATGAAGCTGCTTGACGTGGTAGGTAACCCATTGACCGCGTGGATATGGTGCTCGGGGGCATATGGCCGGTGCTGGCCAAGCAGGCTCAGCAGGATTGTAATCAATGGGGTGATTCAAGTACGAGTCTGCAGGGTCGGCGAGTTTTGCAAATTCCGGAGCTGGTTTGTCTTCGCCATCACGACGTATGACCTCGGGGAGGACAAGCCGCACTCCCGAGCTCCCGAAGGCCGTACAATAACGCCCGCTGGACCGACTTTCAGGAATGGTGCTCACATCGGCAGAGCGCCCTTCACTCCAAGACGTAAGTGAGACATTGTCTTTCGTCCACCAAGGACTTGGGACAGGAGGCTGAATTGTCCCGTCCTTGAACTGGATGAACTCTATGTAACCGAGGGTGAAAAACCAGTGGCGGAGGTACTCCCGAACGGTCCGAACTCCCGTGTGCTTGGGACCGCCTTTGATGATTCGGCCCGAAAGGATACAAGGCGCAGCAAGCATCTCTTCGACTTGGTGTTCCAGAGCCAGCCAGGGTGGAGAGAGATCCGATACATTGCTTATCATGCCTATGAAGAGGACAACATACATCAGTCAATAACACCAGTAAGAACCGAGTGGAACATACAATGAGACAGGCACAGGACTTGATAAAAGAGGGGGAGGCAGATAGTACGCTCCCAACCTTCAGGTAGCCGACTTGGGTCCAGTAGAAGCCTATGGCCGCTGAAGTCATCACGCTCAAATTTATAAGGGATCTCGTCCATGTATTTCTGGGAGCGGAGTTTCGGGGCTTGAACGCCCTCGGAACTTTGCATGATGCTCACTTATGAGTCCCGTCAATATACTGGGAGTCAAAAACAAATGTCTCTCGCATACCTGCCTGTTGATTGACGTATGACTGGTAGGCGTTAAGGACCCCACCGACTGAGTATGTCTTGCGAAAAGTACTCTTTGCCAGCCCTTGCTGCTTCATGAGTTCATACCTGGGCAGCTCTCAGTTCATCGGATACGAGCAGAATGAGCCAAAATGACTAACATATTTGCGTTGATACCGGTTCCAGGTAGCCCAGCATACACAATCACAGGTACGACACCAAAATCTTTCATGAGATGCAAACTGAACGCGCGACATGTTGGTCCCAACTTATCACGGAAGTTCCTGTCATATCAAAAGATGAGTGTGATTCCTTGGCATGATATACGGTGCTGCGCTGACTTCAATTTTACTTCCAGGGGAGGACCGCTGAGATTCCAATTTGCAGCCGTTGCCTGAAAGAGTGCTCTCTCGTCAGGCTGTAACTTCCGAAAAAGTCCGCGTCGGGCTATGCGAAACATGGACAAGAACGGTTTGGAGCCAGGGGAGAGACCGGTTTTATTGAGCACCCAGGACTTTATCTCAGCGCCGTAGATCCATCCACACACAGCTTCTGCTTTCCAGGTAGTGCCCCGAACATCCGATGGAAGTTGAATAAACCCGCCCCGAATTTTAGCACGCGTGTGGAAAAACATTTTGACGGCCTGCACAAATTACTTAAGCTATCCATCTGCAGTAAAGAGGTTTCAGTCGTCTACTTCTCGCATGCGATGGTATCGCGGGTTCTGCTGGCGCGAGGGTTGCAGGTCGGGATCCCAGTCCCAACCGACGTGTTCGGACTCCCAAAGGGATTGGAACTGCGCGGCAAAAAAGTCCTTCCTCTCATGGTCCTCCAGGCGAGCATATGTCTCTAGCTGGCCTTGAAGATACAGATAGTGACGAACATTGAGACTTCTCTCAATAAGAATCTGATGAGCTTCCTGATCAGGGAAGATGTCACGAGCAGGGCGGGTGGGCATTGTAGTGGCGGGTAGAAGGAAAGGCAAGTCAATCCGACGCATATAAGCAATCCTGTACATTGCCCGATCAGTGAAACACCGATCGACGGCAGAGAGGGGCTAATCCGTGTCAAGTTGTTCCTGCCCGTCAACCCAGATGTAGGAATGGAGATGTAGCCAGCTAGCTGGCTGCATTTCCTGATTGCTCTATCAACACTCTATGAGCTGACATATTGAGAAGTGAATGGAAACCATCACCCATATTTGCCTGGGAGTCTAAGTGACAAGGCTCTATCCCTGGGAGAGCAGAATGCACAGCCCGGATCAAAGAAGGACAAAACTCTGCCCTGTATCCTGTGTATAAGTCCCAGATGACATTGGATTGGCAACAATAAAAGAGACAGCTAATGACCAAGATATGGAAAGACAATGTGCTACAATATGATGCATGAGGAGGTAAGAAGGAAACATCACACAAGCCCTCAATGAACTATAGTACATGATACTAAGCAGTATAAACCACCTACTATGTCAGAATGCAGACTCAAGCCTCTACTTCAGGGTATCCACCGTCCACAACAGCCTCAGTTGAGTTAACTGAGACATTTGAGCCAATACTTCGGGTATCGGTGCAGTACTCCTCAAAGTCAAAATTGAAGCACTCTTCGGTGACATCTTCGTTGCCAGACAGGACCTGAATGCTTGCGGCAGCAAGTTCCTCCCCATCCCATTGCACAGACAATGTGCCCTGCACTGTATGTGAAAGTGGACATCAGCTTTCAGCAGATCAATGAACAGATAAAACACATTTACGTGACCGTGGATCGTCATCGGTGAGCACAAGTGTGAATTCTGACCCGAAAATAATCTCGGGAGGTGGAGCGTTATCGATGGAAGGTTGCACATCATTGATGGCAGGTGGAACGTCCTCAATATTGGGATGAGACTCTGCCTCAGGCAAGGGAAGAGGAGGGAGTGCTGTGAACTACATTGAATGAAATCCCACTGAGTGTCCACGGAATCAACTCACAGCGTTCACGTCGGGCGAGGGATGCGTGACTACTCATGCCAGAGGATGGTCCATCTGTGATTTGGAGCTGAGGGCGGCTGCGGGCACTTTGATTGATACTACTGCTTCCGGCATAAGAGGCCATCCGAGATAGCTGGTCGTAGTCGGGCGGCGACGTGGTGTGGGAGCCGATTGACGATCCCGAACGGAGCGCGCGCGATGCTCCCGGACGTCGGCGTGATGCTCCAGATCTTGACAGAGATACAGTCGGCGTTATGATGCCGACCGTGACTGCATTACTTATGCTGCGGTTGTACGCGCGACTGCTGCTCCCCTGCATGCCCTTGACTTAGCATGACATGCTGAGGACGGCGTGTGGAGTGTTACCTTGCTCGTAATGTGGAGCTTCAGGCACCATTGTACAATGAGACCGGAGCTGGCGTTCTCGAATCGCTCGAAATCGATGGTTAACGCGAATAAGCTGCGGCACTGCATTTGAGCTGCCATTCGGCCACACAGCATACAGGTCGTCCGACGTACCGCTCAAATTGACGCACAAACGACCGCCCATCCGTGCCCATATGCGCTTCGAGGCCTTGGATGGATGATCGCGCCCTCTGGAGGAAATAGACGATCAACTTCCAGAGCATCCGGCGGGCGACAGAGTGGGAAATCCACTGCGGTACTGTAAAGGAAACGCGGAAGTCTGGGAGCAGTCGCAAGCGTTCTTCCGTTGTGAGAGCCGGGTTATAAAACGGGTAAACGCTGAGATCGTAGGGGAACTGGTCGTCTTCCTCGCCATCCGAGAAATCGACGACTATTCTCAATGAGATGGGCATCGCGGAATGGGCTAAGGCGGTCTCCATCCTCTCATCGTGGACATATATCGGTACACGGAGATCGTCGTGAACTAGATTCCCCAACGCTGGGCAGGGGGGTGTTCGAAGATGCAGAAACGACGTGTGACTGGATGGACTGCAAGGGAAAGCGCCCCGGTACCTATGATCAAGAGAAGGCCCTTCAGGCAGGGCATCGGAGTGTGCAGGCAAAGGCTATCGCATTTGAGCGTACATATGACCATCTGTGCGAGAGGAAGAGAGGGAGGCTGACGAGTATGGTTTGCTGGTCTCCCAAAGCACGGCTGATTACCCACGGCACGCTCGGGGGCCGGCCGTGAGGCGCCGGCATGATGATGCAAAGAAAGATCACGAAGCTGCCAATTGTGGATAGGTCTCTCCGCGTTTCCCCGATTGGTCCACCGCAACATTGTCCTCCAACTTTACACTCTTTGGCAACGTCGCTCTCCTGTCCCATGCCGCTTACTCAGTTCGAGCTCGCCCGCTTGGCTGAGACACATGCTCCTCCCTCCGGACTAGACGATGAAGAGATATGGCTGTCAAGAGCCAAAAACTCGAACTCACTCAACGGGACGGAGGTGTGGTGGCGGTGGTACGCGCCATGGCTTGAAGAACGAGGGTATCGTCTACGACCCCGTTACCAACCTGGATGGGCGCCTCCTGCACAGCGCGCGTATGCCGAAAGGGAGGACTGCGTGGAGCAGACTGTACGTGGCCTTTCAACTCTTTGACAGGTCCATCAATTCATTGAATACAGTTGGTGCGCGTGCTTGACGCCACCCGTGTTTCCGATGGGCTTCAGGTGTTGTTGAAGGTCATACCCGATACTGGCGAAGGACAAGCAGAGCGTGAGATTCTTGAGTATCTGTGGTCGCCGAATCTCAGATCGGACCCGAGAAATCACACGGTACCTCTGCTGGACATTTTGAAATTGCCATACGATGGAGATCTGGTGCTCGTAATGCCTCTTCTGCGCTCGTTCGACGACCCTCGGTTTCAGACCGTTGGCGAGGCGGTCGAGTTCTTCCGACAGGTCTTCGAGGTACGTCCATTCTACTTCATGCCTGATGCTATTGATGCTCAATTCTATTCTTGCAGGCCATAGAATTCTTGCACGACCATAACATCGCCCACGGGTAATGTCCTATTCTCGAACACCACTATCTGTGGAAGCTGATATGGCGCAGAGACTGCACGACTGGGAACATCATGTACGACGCTACACCCATGTACCCAGGAGGATTCCATGCCATTGACACAGACCGCGCCCCTTCATGGGAGCGGAATGCGGTCCACTACACGCGCACTGAGCGCCCGGTTCGCTATATCATCATCGACTTTGGACTTTCGGTGCGCATCACGGGAGACCAGACTGGTCTAGTCTATCCAGCGCACGGTCGTGATCGCACTGCTCCCGAACACCGTCCCGATCTCATAGCCACCCAAACGCCCCATGACCCGTTCCCGACAGACGTTTACTACCTCGGGAACTTCATCCTGAAGGAGTTCATCGAGGTCGGCCGTGTTCCTTCGTTTCATCTCCGATCCTCGCTAAAGCAAGTGTTAGGGCTATTCGGGTGGATTTGAATTCATGCGAGCGCTGGTCGCTGAGATGATCAGAGATGTCCCAGCTGAGCGCCCTTCGATACACGAGGTCGTCGCTCGCTTTCGTCGCATAAGCGCATCCCTCAATTGGTGGACACTGCGTCGTCCGATTGACAGACGCATATACCCAGCAATCTTTCGCGTAGCGCGGATGGGCGTCGTCTTATTGCGGGACGTACGCTACATTTTGTCAGGGACTTCTCCCATGCCGGTGGTGAATTTCTAAACTCTCCGTAGCATACATCACTACCTTACAAGCCACATACTATCAGGATTATTTATTGGCCGGTCATGATGACAACATTTGCGGAACTGCCGGAAGTCGGGATTCAGTTGCTTCTAGTACCGTCCATAAGATATGTACATGAAGCAAAAGCTGGGCGGGAGAACTGTGGGCTGAGCGGTGTGGGTGGCCCATCGTCTTGACAGGACACTGTTTGGGTGGAGGTGAAGGGGAGGTTAAGCGTTATACAACATCCTCGGAATGACATTTGTTTATCCAGCTCAACGTCCCGGAGCCTCGTCGGAGGAGTAACCATTGAGGACCCCGTATCCGCTGGGATGAGCTTTAATGCGCCCAAGTGATCGGGGCCCGCCTGCCAGGGACTCCAAATCTTTTATTCCAAAGCTCGCCCGTCCGGAAGTATATGTTTTCGTTATCCTTCCAATCGGGAAACTTGACGTTGCGCAACCTTGTTTTCAGGCCTCCGGTGCGATTGAGATAGGTGAGCAGGTTTCGGTAGGGTCTCCCATCTGCAACAACACCGAGAACCACCAGTTCCTCCATCGACACTGCTGATGCAAACAATGCCTCATAAGCATTGTCGGGCCACAAATATCGTCCCTCGACTCGGATGATTACGACTCTCACGTATGCCAGCTCAGAGTTTGACGACCCTCGCAAAAAACTCTGTAGCACTTGAGTATGGGGAATGCCGAATGTTCTGGACCGGTCCGCGCGACTCAACGTGTGGTGAGATATCCATGAATTTCGCAGTGTAAACGAATTTCGAGCGGCCAAGGCTTGCGGGTCGTTTGCAGCCAACGCCCCCGCGATGGACGTCGCGTATGTGACCCGTACGTAGTCTGGCCATCGATCAATGTGGGGCTCCCCTGAGCGATACTCCAGCGAAGCGACAGACGCTGACTGCGACCTGTCACGCGAAGTCATGATACATGGGCGCAGGAGTTTGAGTGAGAGTGCGACTTCATTGGCGATACTCTGAGCGCACAGCTCAGCTCCGTTTGACGGTGCTTCTCGAGGAAAGCTACCGGTCTGAACTTCAACGAGCACAGAGCATCCTGCCGGAGGCATGAGAATGCCGAATAAATCCTGAGTGGCCATGAAGTCTGCACGCAGCAGCAGCAGCGAGAGTAATGGCAGGTCCAGATGCAGAGGTGCCGTCCTCCAGTTCCGACGCTCTGCATGCGATGCTTCGCGGAACGCGTTCAAGAGCACGAGTACGTTCAGAGCGGGACAAAATTTGAGTATCCTGATGAGGTCCTGGAGAGACCATGAGACTGCTTCCCTCTCAAACGTCTCGAATGCAATGTGTAATTCGGATAGCATTTTCCCGTAGCCGACAAACAGCCCATTCGCAATGCGGAAGATGTGTAAACTCGGCATGTGAACGGCTGTCAGCCGTGTAGAGGTGTTGTGAGGATAGGGGTTGAATTTCAAAGATATCCTCCGCAGCTTGGGTGCACCAGACTTTAATAGTGCGCGCGATAATATCTGCGACGTCGGCTGTCCGGAGTCGCCATGGACCGATGGAAAGGTCGCGCATAGTTGACCCGCGAAGCGCAACCGCGGGATAATCATATCCAATACACACAAGCAGAGAGCCGGCGCCACAATCTCAAGTGGGTACGCTGTCCCCGCCCAGTTCAAGCTGTCGGGGAGCAAAGTCGGTTGCAAGACGGGGATGTTAGCCCAGAACGCCGGTGCGGCGAGTAGCGTCTCGCGTATTGTTTTCGAACTCCCAAAGAAAGCTATCGCAGATAGATAGGCTGGTGGTAGGTCTTGGAAGCAACATGTAACTTGGTGACTCCACGATCCTGTGGCTCCCCGACAGCAGCAGGCAGGTGTAGTAGGCTCATGTTGGATCGACGTCGTGACGCCTTCGTCAGGTACAAATTGCTGAGACTGAATAGGCTGTAGATCCATGGCAATAACACATAGTGCGATACGTAGAATGACCTCGTGGGGTAAGCGAAGCAAGGGCGGCATTCGTTGCTGGCGAGAGGCCATGACGGCAAAGTTCAAAAAGCCGCGGTCGCGTATCGCTGCCACGCAACTTGCGTTCACACGACACGACACGTGTCCACCCGAGCCTTCATTCTACCCAAGAGTGACACAGTAAGCGGCGCAACAATGTCAATACTGTGCGCCAAGTCATCGCCAGAGGTGATGGGCGATTACCTTGCGAGTTCCGAGCAAGGTCTCTCATCTTCAAAAATGTCCCCCAGGAGTCTGCCAATGTCGCAGTCCCATCATATCTGATGAGATCGTCGTTATCTACTCCCCTCTCCCTCTCTCGCACCCCTTGCTCCTGTCCGGTCTTCCTCGGGTCCTCTCGGGTCTTACTGAATCTCAGGGGAAGCCCACCGCGACGTGGTCCTGTCGGGTAGTCCGGGGAGTCCCTTTTGTAACCGCGTAATTCTGTACATTTGGATCGAGCCTTGCGGTCTATGCAGCCGACGGACACTGGCTTCGCATCGGGTAGATGGCAGCCTCGTTTGTACAGTACATGGCCCATGGCATTGGGACCACGAGCAAGGTGTAACCCGCGGAACGCGGGACTCGAGTTGCTAGATGAGTTCAACATATATTGCTGAACACTCGCGAATCCCCGCGATGCTTTACTGATGCATACCCGATGGTGCTTGGCGGTTCCGATGTTTCGCTTCCAGTCATCCAGCATCAAGCCTCTTAGAAGGACAGTCGCGTGACAAACGCGTAAGCAACATGTCGAGACTTCTTTCAACTTTCTAGGCGGCAGAGTACTTAGCTCTTTTTCGCCTCCCACAGGTTGGGAGTATAATCAGGGAGTGTACCAGGGGATGGTCAAACATGCCATTGGCTGGTTCAAGGTGCACGCAACACACCTACCCCACAGCTTTACTATCGGCAGTGCGCTGATGGTTACGAAGCTCACCAGGGCCTGGTGAAACCATCCCGAGAATGTCACGTCGCCGAGCAAGCGATCCCAAGATCCGTCAGGCTGGGAGTGATTACCGTCCCGGCGGACATCTCGCAAGCACGTAGCTGGGCTAACAGGCTGGTGAATCTCATACATCAAAGTACAGGGCGGAATGTGGACGTATCGACCAAGGTTGTAATGAGCGTCACTGTAAATAGAGAAGCGAGCAGAGTGTGTGTCCGAAACATGAACAACAGTACAATAACAATTCAACGAATCCACAGCAGAGACCAGACATGGTGCATGGGAGGAAACAGGCTGAACGACAGTCCCAAATAGCCAGAACTTAGAGATGAACCATCGGAACGGGAGAAGTCCCTGACAAAATGTAGCGTACGTCCCGCAATAAGACGACGCCCATCCGCGCTACGCGAAAGATTGCTGG